CATCCCTACTACTTTCTTTCCTTTTTTAAAAGGTTTTTTTTTTTACTAGTTTGCTTGTTTTTCTAATGCAGTGTTTCAATAGACATAGGAAGGTTGTATTTATAACCAAGTTCTAAGTACAATGAGGTTCCAACTGTAATATTTATTGTTTATCTATAATTGGCTGGTAATTCCTGTTTCACCCTGTACTTAAGCTTTTAAAAGGAACATCAAATTTCTGTGAAAAAGCTAACTTCAAGGAGTAGTGATAACATAGGTTACAGTGGAATTATGATTTTTAAAAAATTATTACTAGTTAATAATACTTATAAAAGCGGATACTCCGTTGAAACTATGTCACATTAATGAAGTTGGTTGACACTGCTGTTTTAGTTTTTGAGTTAGCATGTAACAAAAAAGAAGAAAGAGAGAGAAGAACAAGAAATTTAGACTTTTTGCTATGATATTTACAGATATTCCCATAACTTGTGATTCAATCATTACATAGATATTGTTATAAAAGGAAGCACTGTACGGTGTTGTAAAGTTCTGAGGAACTATTGAGGAGATACTTAAAATACCATTTCGATGAACAATCCCAGCCATCACTACGTAGGCAGTGCTACCGTCTGCTTGATACCTTAGCATCTTTACAATGAAACATGTATTCATGCTACTTCATACGAAGACATGTCATTTAAGTCGCCGGATATAGTGTTTATGGATTTCTACGCGATCTGACCGTTTAAACCGTCGCTCTCGTGCAACAGATGTATTATGGAAAGCATGCAGGAAAGAGGGGTGTGCTTTAAACATGACATCTCTACGACAAAATCTTTTGCAATGGAATCTGTGCTGTAGGGTTATTGTTAAGATGCACGGTCGTCAGATAGCGCATAATTGAAGGTGGCGGCATGGACTGTAACTATTGGGTGAAATTCCATAATTGTATAAACCTAGCGTAACCAACTTCTGTAACTGTCGTCCACGGAAAACACATGTTTATGAGTGAAGTGTGCTAAAAATGAGACAAGAACTAATAAAAGATGTTCATTCTTGTTTCTAGACGCTAACGATCGTGGAGTTTGAGCAAACTCGAGTTCACACACTTTATTTGTAACCTTCTGAAAATATCTTGTTTCAAACCAAATCTGCAGAAAAAAATAAACTCGTATGTAAATTTACACACGCCTTACTCTGAAATTTTGGAACAAAATACAAATCATTACATTTCGGTCTTGCACAGTAGTGTTTATGCACATAAGGAGACAAAAATAATAACAAGTACTAAGTTACACATACAATGACATATATATAAATAACAAATATTCTATACATTCGAATACAAATTAAAAAAGAAAGAAAACTGTACATACCGTTACATATAAATAAAAAACTTTCTACATATTCCGTCGCTCACACATACAATCGTTTATACATAAAAAACGTTCTATGTAATTCAATACAATTAAAAATAAAAATTTAGTGTGAGGTCTTTGTATTAATTATTTAGTAACTCAAAACTATTATACAGTTTCTCATTGTCAGAGTTACATGATTATCTGACAAGTATTGAAACCCCCGTAAAGGCAAGCAGACCAAAAGAAATGGAAATTGATATCGCAAACATGTGACGGAGGAGCGAAGAGGAGCCTTCTCATAATAATGCTGTGCACTGATACCTGACACGAGCGCCTCGGAGAGGAAGATAGCGGGAATATTGGAATGCCAGTCATGAATTAGAGATAACATTCACGGGTTGCCTTTCCATTGCCTAGCTTTCTAGATAACCAGTTTGTTACTATCATGGTAGCCAGTATATTATTGCTATGAAAACTGTTCCATTTCTCCTCTCTGCCTGGAGATGGGAAGAAAAATGGATACTGTCATGTACTACGATATCTAATGGATTATATCATATTTACTGAAAATGTTTTTCTTCTATTAATTAACTAGTCTTTAAACTACTCACTAATTGTATTACAGCATTATCAAGACAGTATTAAAGAGGCTTAGAAAGTATAATACAAATTGTTTCTGAATACATGAATAAACACCGTCCTTATATATATATATATACACACACACACATATAAAGATAAAAAAACATATAAATGTATCATCATCACCTGCAAATGGATGAAACGCCAGTATCACAAACCTTACTCACATGGTTCTGTAGTTTGCAATAAAACAGTCCAACCACTGGTCATTCAGCTCTGTTTGTCTGTTTTGCAATCATATTTATTCGATTTCACTTTGTTTGGATAATTTTTGGAGGTTGTATTTGCTTGATATCGAATTATATAGGAGGGTAGTACAGCCGCATTTTATTATTATAATATATATAATACGTTGTGGGGTAGTGGATGGATGTATTATCTGGTTTAGACTTGGTAAGAGTGGATAGGTTTTAAGATCTGTGGTTTAATTTTTGGATCTCTTAACTTCGTGACTGTATTGTAGAGATTACTACCATGCTCGAAGGAAGCCGCGTGGATAATTAACAGTTGGTTAGCTTAGAATATTCTGGGTTTAAACACATAAACGTCGCGATATATTATTAGGATTACGGCCGAAAATATCGTTGACAACGAGGGTACCCAGCTGGCGAAACAATGCATTTTAATCTTCATAAGTAGAAACGTAAAGAGATTGCCAGGTTGATTTTTAGTTTCATTCTAAGTACTCAACTTATTCTGATTGGACGTTAATTATACTTTGTGATATCCCCCACCTCCATGATTCAAGGCCATTATCACGTAGGTAAGCTTTTAAAAAGGAAATCGAGTTTTATTCTCAGATAACATATAAAAGATTGTTTGTTTTGAATATCACTCAAAACTACACGAGGGCTATCTGCGTTAGCCGTCCCTAATTTAGCAGTGAAATATAAAGGGAAGACAGCTAGTCATCACTACCCACCGCCAATTCTTGGGCTAATCTTTTACCAACGAATAGTGGGATTGAACGTCACATTATAAGGCCCCCTCGGCTGAAAGGACGAGCATGTTTGGTGGGATATAAAAGAGAAGTGTAGAAAAATAACAGCATGGTGGTATAGTTTCTTCCAAAATAACTGCTAAAACTTTTGAAGAAAAATTACAACTAATAATAATTAGTCTTAATTATGGCTAACAGGCAAGTCACAAAAAGCGGTTGCGACCACTCACTCTTCCTTAGGTCATCAGTTCGGTGTCCATGATGCTGTTAGCAGTGTTTTCGGCACTTAATCTTAAGAATACCTTACAAGGTTAGATCTGATTTAGGAATTAATAAGTACCAAATCACAACTGCCACATGTAAAGCTTCACGTATCACGCCTATGACGTTTGGCCAATGCAATTACTATTATTTAAGAAATTTAATGTTATATATTAAATCTATCTACTACTAAAAATAACTGAATAACTTCATTACACTTAATAATGTAAACTACATAAATTCATACAGTTACTCCTCATTTAGTATGTGATATATTCCAGCTACATGTCTACAGAACAATAGCACTTCTGCTTACTAGTGAGACGGAATATTGCAATAGGAGAAACAGTAGGACTAAACTTTATAGAATCAGGAAACCAAAGATTACACGCAAGGCCCTGCCAACAAAATCAGCCTTACAACTTCGTTCTCGCCCTGTACTGAAGTCATTCAGAAGAACAATGCGTACATAACATTTCTACCGCGTAAACATGTGCACGTTGGAGCAGTTACCCATTGAAGCTAATCCGCTGGGCGTTGCAGCCTTAGAAGCCAATGAAGGTATGGAAAATCATTATATGTGACTGTAGGTGTAAAACTGCTCAAATATTCGTTACCATAAACACTCAACAGCACTGAAATGTAAGCGTGACCTGAATATTTTAGTTAATCTTTTACAACAAGCTGCTTGTTTGTTATTTAGCGCAAAGTTTCACAAAGGTCATTTTTTTTTGTGCTGTGTCCACAGCGGGAAATATAACCTTTGATTTTAGTGTTTTAAGCCGTACAAGTTAACTGCCTAGCCAACGGTGGACTATAACAAGTTGAATATGTGTCTGCTAATGCTTCTTCATGGGTAAGTTTTAGAACGAGCTTTTTCAACATATATATATACCACACATACACAAAAACACAAAAAAAATGCAAGAAACGTAAAACTAAATGCCCGTTCTTATGAGCGCTTCTTTCCTGCCGAAAAAATGTTTATTTTTTAAACATACACGAATAACTTCATCTGTTAATGTTTGAAAAAGTATTCTTGTTTAGTTACAGCACAGTTGGTGTTAAAGAAAAGTTTCTATGGTGGGACAGCGGTACGTTTACGGACTTACAACGTAAAATCTGGAGTTCGATTCTCCGCGTGGACACAGCAGATAGCTCAATGTGGCTTGGCTCTAAAATAAACAGTTAAAGGCAATAAATTATCTACTGGGTTGAACACAAGCTCAAAATCTTATACTGAAGACTAAACTTGGTATTCACAACACAGAAAAACATGGTAAATTACAGAAGTAAAGATAACATGTCTCGATGGCCTTAACAGCTGTAATTCAGCTGGTCATGAAACCGTAAATCTATAGCCCATAGCACGTCTTCACGTGTTACTAAACACTTTATTAGGGCTCGTGTTGGAATGATAAATGTGAAGGATAAAAAAGAAAATATAGCATGATAAACAGATGAGAAAATTTTTTAAACTCTCACATGTGTTATAAGTTTAAATTTACTGACTTACCGGCTACTTGTACAAGAGGATTCGGGTTCGACTAAACCTTTGTTCTGAGGCCATTTTGTGCTTTCACTAAATTATAGCGAATAGGCGTCCTTCACATCTGTCACTCGGCTCCTTCGTAAGCGAGCAACGAGCGGCAGCTGGACGATGAACAGCGTTAAAGAAAGACTTGCATTCTAACGCACAGAGGACAGCTTTTTTTTATATTTTTTTTATAAATAATGTTATTGTATTCCTTACACTATTTAAAGTAAAAAAAAATGCAAAAACGCTTTTACCCAAACTGACTTGAACATATTTACATTCTTACCATAAACGTCAATAATCAAAAGTTGGTAGAAAGAAGATTGAATTTTTGCCCTACTGATGTAAAAAAAAAAAAAAAGACAAAGATTATTAAGTTATACGGAGTTAACTAAACATTGTTCTTGAGAAAAAAAACTTTTTAAAGTATACGGAGTTAAGTAAACATTGCTCTTGAGAAGGCCAAAAAAACAGAACAAAAACCTATTATGTTATACGGAGTTAATTAGACATTGTTCTTGGGAAAACAAAAATAGAAAAAAAAACAACTAAGAATTTCATCATATTGGAGCATGGCCGGATTCGCGGATTCGAATCCCTGTCACTGAACATGCTCGTCCTGTCAGCCATGATGGCGTTATAATGTGTCGGTAAAAGAGTCGCCCAAGAGGTGGCGGAGGGTGGTGTTAAGTGGCCGCTTGTCACTACTAAATTAGGGATGGCTAAGGCATGTAGCCTTCGAGTAGCTTTGCGCGAAATTCAAACCAATCAATCATGCTGTTGTAAAGTTTCTTGCTTTTAATACTTTGATTATTATTTCATTATGTTTTTTTTTCTTCTAATGCCGAGTGGCGACACTTATGCAGCAACCATGAGGAAGGGTAGCTAATTTGTTTGAATCAACTGAAATAAAATATGTATACGTGAGCAAAATTGATTAGTCGGAGAGAAAACAAAAATAAAAACGGATACGCTGTACAATGTTTTAGTTAAATCTGTATTGAATGTAAGTGTTAGCGTCGTCTTCCGTATAAGCCCCAAGTGGCACAGCGGTATGTCTGCGGACGTACAACGCTAGACACTGGGTTTTGATACCCGTGGTGGGCAGAACATAGATAGCCTATTGTGTAGCTTTGTGTTTGACTTCAAACAAACAAATCAAAACAAGTCGTCCTAGTTGACATCAACTATAATAAACAGTCAAGTTTGATGAACATTATTGGAAACCAGTTCATAAGAATAAGAGAAATTGTTTTAACGCAACCGAAACGAAAAACATAAAAGAAACCGATCTTCTAATATGAACAATGAGAGAAATATAGTCATTATTATAAAAGTATTTAATAATATTAACTGATCTTATATTTTATGAACAGTATAACTGTGTAAGTATTTTATACTGTAATAAAATTAAATTATTGGATAAAATTGTTACTATAAGTTAATCCAGATAACAACTATATAAACCCGGAAAACAACCTTAAATTAACCCTGATAACAATTATATTAATCTAGATAACAATCATAAATTAACCCAAACAACAACTATGAATTAATCCAGGTAACAACCATAAATCAACCCAGACAACAACTATAAAGCAATACAAATAAATACTATATTAACACGCCCAACAACTATGAATTATCCCAGATAAAATTATATTAATCTAAACAACAACTATAAATTAACCCAGACAACAACTACAAATTAATACAAATTAAAAACTATATTAACTCAGACAGCAACTGTAAATTAACCCAGACAACTACATGACTAGTAATTTGGCAGTGTAAGAAACCTGACTGATGTTATAATGGTCTTATTGATCGTAGATATTCCTACTTGATCAGGTAAACCAATAAATTAAAGTGACTTAATCAAGATCATGGAACTTCTTCACTCCTTCCTTGTTATGGTAATGTTCATATATCATTCTTAAGGAAGATAAGGGAATAGAAAGAACGAAGAGGGAAAAATTGTGATGGATAGCCAGTTTCCTGTAGGTTTAAGGTGAAAGGTTGAGGATAAGGGAGTTACTGTCCTGAATTAATGAATCCTACTAACATTGAAGCCGCCATTAACCGTCAAAACGATCAATGTTCCTATATATAAGCCACAAAAAGCAAGGGCGACTACAAAAAAAATAAATATTTACAGACAAAGCAATAGTTCTGGAAGACAATTCATTGCATTCCACCTAAAGAATCCAGAACGTTAAGTACCATCGTTAGCATACCATACTTCTTGAGATCAAAGGCTAACCTGTTAATGCTGTCAGATGGCTGTCTTATATATATTTGAACGTGACTGGAGTACAGTTGGCCATAAAAGTATTGTAGTAATCCCATACACACTGCTATTAAACAAACCACGAATAGCTGACAACATATGGTTCGTTGGATGAAACAGGTTAAATTTCATATTTTCCGACAATTTAAATTCTAGATAAACTCTATCAAACGTTCCTCAGTTCACAACGAATTTATGAAAACACGAAAGAGTAACAAACTATTCGTACAATAACTATTTCTTGAACACAACGTCTTCGGGTTCTGTTTTATTCCTTAAACATAACATTCTCATATTCTGTTTTTTTCTTCTTGTTTTTTTTTTCTGTGTATGAAAATATATTCATCTATAACTATCATTTATTATTCTACGTACATTCTGGATTCTTCTTCTTGAGGCAGTTGGAATAAAAAGCGTGCACAAAACTGTAACTCATAAACAAATAACAATGAAAGAAGTGTATAGTACTACTAAGCCTAAACCTCCCATTGTTATGTAAAAACTTCCTAATAGCACCCATGACGTTCTTAGAAAGAACGCCAATTGAGAGTTTAAGTCGGACTTTTTAATGTAATCCCCTTAGGAGGTGTGTGTGTGTGTGTGAGAGAGAGAGAGATAGAGAGGGGGGGGGGGAGATGACAATCCAAAGCCATAGTGCGGCACGAGGTTTGGCGTGTGACACTGAGGAAATCATCAGAGGTACCAGACAGACAAATGTCTAACCATGAGCCATGCCACTCACATTTCACGTCTCACGAGCTATGTTGTCACGTTCATTAAGAGGGACTCAGTGACTTTCAGTTTTTCATAGCGCATTCTAAAACTACTGTTGAGTTGTGGTTAGATAAATAAATAAAATAAAAATATTATTTATGAGAAATATTTAATAACTTTATATATTATATCTTTATTTATACACATTTAATATATACATTCGATATATATATAGTAATTAAAATAAAAATATCATTAATTATTATTAATATTAGTTATTAATGAATCTTTGATAACTTTACATTAGGTCGTCAAAAAATTAATGTAGAGTTTTGGTACACTTTCATTAACCATCCCCCCAAAACGTACATCACATATAATAGTTAAACGAA